CACACATTTTATTTATATATATATATTATTTTTTAATACTTAAAAAATATTATTAAATAGTGAGAATTTGGAGATATTACATATTATATGCTTGTATACATATATTTTATTTATATATATATTGTTTTTTAATACTAAAAAATATAATCATATAGTGAGAATTTGGAGATATTATATATTATATGCTTGTATACACACATTTTATTAATATATCTATATTTTTTTTTTTATTACTAAAAAAATATTACTTATATAATTATGCTTTATTTATAAAATTATGGAAATAACATTGTATTATTCATGTATCTTTAAAAAAATTTAATTAAATTTTTGATATAAATAAATTTAATTTAAATAATTGAGAATAAAATCTTCATTATTTAGAATTTTGTATGCCTAATAACTAATTGTGTCATCAGTAAGTCGAAAGGAAGGAGAAATCTAATCCCTAAGCAGTTCATATAGTCTAATCCTAAAATAGTTAGTTCCATAAAAACATTTTATAAAGTATAAATTTTGCTAAAAATATTAATTAATATTATTAATTAAGCAATTAATTAAAATTAATAATATTAATTTTTAAACTATTATAAAGTGTATAAATCAAAATTATATTTTCCTTATTTTATCAAATCGTTTTTTTTTTGGTATAGCACTATAGTATAGCGTAGGTCTCCCAAAATAAGAAAATTAAAAAATTAAAGTTTCACAGTAAAAATAAAATTTATTAGTTTATTTTTATATATAAAAAAACCTCAACATATCCGATAAAGTATATAAGTTACATATTAAAAATGTCAAATTGCATAAAATCTCTTTACTAAACCCCTTCACTTCGTTCTTGCTTGCAATTACTTTAACATTTAATTTTAGTATATATAAATAAATAAAAATCAATTTAATATTAGCTAACAGCAGTAAAAAGGAAAGAAGAAAAATTTATAATAAAATAATAATTTAATATATAATAAAAAGTAAATAAAAATCAAAATTATATTAGCTAAAAATTATAAAAAATAGAAAAAAAATAAACAATAAAAAGAGTGTGATCAAAAAGTGGTAGCAAACTGCACTAAAATTGTGGTATATAAGTACATGAAGAAAAAAAATTCTGTATAAATATTTTGTAAAATAAGAACAATTTTAAATATTTTAAAATTGATAGTTATAGATTTCATGAAAAGCTTATATAAAGGATCTAAAAGGATAAATAAATAATCTGTGAAATTTGTTATAGAAACCGAGTGTCTCCAAACCTATTTAGTTTAACTATTCACAGCTCATGTTGGAAGTTATCAAAGAGATTAAAGTTCGATATATTTTATATAGAATATCATAGTTTTTTTTATCGGTTTTTATATGTTAACATTAAAAATGCTTTGTCTGAGATAATTCATAACAAAATTATTATTTTTTATTTTAGTCTTTATTGATTTATCACTGAAACTTATTATATTATAAAATTATTTTATTTATTTCTAATTCCTTACAATTTATCACCATAATATATTACTGATATTGAATTTTTTTTTAATTTTGATGGATTGTATGTATGCACAAGTATGAATGAAAGTAATTTCAAAAAAATATTGGAACAGAATACGTTTTTTACAAAAATCTTATTAAAATTAAAAGCTTATCTTTTATAACTTATAGATACCATATATAATAAAATAATAGTCATAAAAAATAATTAAAATAAAAATAAAAATATTAATAAAAATTTTATATAGTGCTATCTAAACAAAAATTTTAAAAGTTAAGCAAATGATAATCTCATTCAGATAAATGTATGCTATCACCTCTTTTTTCTAGTAAACACAAGATCTTCTAGAAACATTTTTTTGATCCCATAGAAGATTACAAATTCATATGTAAATGATCGAATTTATTCATAGTATAAGGCTATTAAGCAATATAATAAGCTAATGTGGGGTCGACAATATACTGTTTTACCTATTTATCAAAACTAATGCCTTTCCATTTCAAGGATATGACATTTTATGCTTAGCCGCATTCGCTTGATGAAGTCCTGTAAGTCTATTGAGCTTAGATCTGTGCTTAACCATATTCATCTGATGAGATCATTTGATAATGTACGGACGGCAGTACACTTCTATCTTACTTATCAGAACAATTGTGTTTCTATTTGTAGGACATGATTCAACGTTTTTTTTAATGTGTCCATTTGTATTCGCCTGTTAAAGTCCAGTAAGTTTCTAAGGCTTAGATCTATGCCTAACCATATTCAAATGATTAAGTTCGCAAGTTTCTTAAGCGTAGATCTAGAACCTCCTTATTTCACAGTATAGTTTTTCGCCTAGTGCTATATTTTCTATTAATAGTTTTCTGGTTAAACTAATATTTTAATAACGCTTATAATATTCTAATTTTTAATAAAAAACTATTTAGATAATTTTCCTTACTTCACATCAAAGATTTAGGGATTATCATTCGGTAAAGTTTACTCTGTGTTTTTAGCAGAGTAAACTAGATTTTGGTGACCTTAGGAAGTTTTAAGTACATATTTTAAGTACATATATCTGCTTAAGTCAATGAGACAAAGAATAGTCCCATAATACGAGCCATTTTAGTTTAGGCTTTATTACAGATTCCGAATGCTTTTGAACCTTTTTGAGTTTTATATAGTATCACATTAGGCCAATGTATAATTGAATCTCCGTGATGATCGCTCTAATCTAACTTAAACTAACCGAAACTAGACTTTGAAATATTATAAAAACTGAATTACTGCAGCAAATATGTTTTCATTATTTACTAATATTTATTATTTATTATATTAAAATATAAATATAATTAATTTAAATATAAATTAATATATATATATTAAATAGATTCTATAGATTAATTGTTATACGAATTGATCAATAAGAAATGATCCTGATTTAGATTACTTTTTAATATAAGTTTTAATAAATTTTGTATTATAAAAATATTTTAATTCATACTATGTAACTAAGAGATAGAACAAAACGATTTTTACTCCCTCTTCCTCTTTTAAATTTTTAATAAGTAAACAGTTAAATATTGGTATTACCGATATGGATGATAAATTTATGGTTCAGACAAAATTTCAGTAAACCAAAAATTATCCCCAAAAATTTCATCCATTGCAATTTCTTTTGAGATATCATTGAACTTGAGTTTTATTGACTAAACTCTTTGTTAGTGAACTCTTAGGTACCTTGTTAGAGTAGGTAAATCTAAAAATATTAGATTTGCAGATCGAGATTTTAGTGAATTTTTAAGAAGAGATATTATATACAATTGGACCCTATCTATGTTTGCAGCAAACTTCGGTCGAAATCAAAAACTGCATCTACCTTTAGAATCTATCATCCAAGAATAATAGAAATACTGTTTTTTCGTTATGTTTAAATTGATAAAGAGAGTTAGATCAACTCACATTAGTTCCATTCATTAAACAAATCTATTAAGCTTTATTTGATGATCCTAATCAAACGGCCGTTGGTTGATCTTGTCGTACGAACATGTCTTATGTCTCATATTGGTAAGAGAAGAGTGCCCAAAAACATATTGAGAGTAGAGCACATAATTGTGAATAACATGCACATGCACATACATGTATGCAGTCTTGTTTGAAACGGTGAAAACGTTATGTCACACATGTTCAATTAAGTCAATGCAACATACGACATGTTCGTATGACACGATCAGTCTAGTGTTTTACAGTCCATTGTGCGTTGCAATTAAAAATTAATTTTGCTGTTTATATTTTGAAATTAACCATGGCTTTTGATTTATATTTCTTAACATAGAAGTATATATACCAAGTGTAGCTTATAATATTTGTATATTTTAGGTGTACTTATATTAAATATATATATTTATGGTGTACATTTAATTATCGTGTAATAATGAATATCTTTACTTTGTACATTTTTCTCTTATCTTTACGCATGACAACTAGGTTCAGATAAAAATGTAGTGCAACACAAATGTTAAGGAGCTAATTAAAGGATCATGTTATTAACAGACTCTGTTAAATATGCTCATTTATATTTAGATGCTTTATTTATTTTATTTATTTTATTAAACATATAAGTTTTTGAATTTTCTATATATTATGAAAAGATTACCCACATACTTTCTGATTATTTTCGAAACTACTAAGACAAGACCTTAAGAACTTATTGAAAGGGACTGCATGAATACTGCAAAACTTACTGCAGTTCTCTCTGGTCACTGTCGTATGGAAACCCACAAAGAAGAACTGCGTATTCCTTTTGTTATTGATTGCAGAAGTTGTGAAAAAGAAACTAGCAAGCATTTTCTCTGTGATTGCCTGGTTTCGGCCTCTTAAGGAAGTAGGTTTTTAGAGAAGTACCTTTTTAACAGTGACAAACTGTTATTATTCGGACTATTTATTCGGAAGGATAAAAGATCTATTTTGTTATCTAAATTCGGTAAGACGGATTTAGTTTTTCTTAAGGATTATATCTTAAGGATTATTGTGAGAAATGTGGTAATGAAACGGCGAAAAATTGCTAATTAAGATCAATGGAAAGTCATTTGTTGACCAGCCACTGTAACCAACCAACCAAGAGTTGTGTAGACACGTATATACTTTAAATTTGATATATTATAGTAAATTCGTATACATGAAGACATGTATTAATTGAATAACTGTATATTAACATATGATTTTTTATTTATAATTTATTAGAAGATAAATGAATGCTAAACACAAGTATGGTGAATCCAAAATTTTATGTTAAAGCAAATCTGCTTCCCCCAAAGCAAATTCTTTTTCGGTTTTGACCATTACGTATATTTTTTTATGTCTTTTTAGTATTCTTATTAAAATCTTATATTATGGTTTATATAGCTTAACTTTTATTTCTGATTTTATTCCAATCTGTGATACATTAGAGAATAGCTACGATTCCGATGTAGTGTATAAGTCAATGTGCTAACAGATATTAATAACGTTAACGGTTTTAAGCAAGCTTTTAAACAAGTTTGTTTTTTGCGGTATGTGTCGATATAGAATAATATATACAATTTTTTACCCAGACTTGTTTCATTTTATGTTATATATTATTAAATTTGTAATAATTTTGCGATCGGTCAATATTCTTTTTCGTTTTTTCTTTTGTTTTGTTGCTGTGTAAGTTAATTGCAGTAATGTAAACACTTAATTGCGCAAATTTGATACTTGATAATTGTGAAGTTTTAAAACATGATATGTTTTGGGAAATCTAATTCATTTGATTTGGGTTTTAGATTCCATTTTGTATTTATTACTTCAATATTTTTTAGCTTTAGTTTTTGCTCAAATTGGACACCTTATTGTTTTAGAAAAAGATCATATCAGTTAAAAAATGGAATCGAAATATCGTTTTAGAATTTGCAACGTAAATATTACTCATTATCATTATCACTTGAATAAATATTATGATATGATGCTTATAGACTCAATATGAACTTTAAAATTTTTAATGTCCATTTTCCGTTATATTCGAGATTTAATTATATGATTCATTTGCAATATTATTATAAACTATAGAATTGTAGATTATTTTAAAGTTTATTTTTTTAGCATTGATGATTTTAATGGATTATTAATAGTTTCATATTTTTGAAATATTTGCATTTAATAAGGGTACTTGATACTTAGGTAATTGGGCGTTAATTGAACCCAAGTGGGCTGAGAGCCGCCACCCTAAAATAACCTAGCCTAGGTTCTGTTTGCTTTCTTAAACGAATTATAGACTCAGTACGTTACCGATTTTAATTGAATTCTAATTTTGATCATACATTTTTAACTTTGCCTTTGACTGTTAGTAAATTGCTATTTTACTTAATATGTATTATGTATTTAAATAATACTGTTTTAACATTTATTTACCATTAAATACATATAGCAACCTCTGAAAAACCTTCCATAATTTAAACGCCACCCTAAGAGGTCTGTGTAAATTGTTTTGTAAATCCATCTATGACAATTTGGAAGATTCCATGTCTCTACGATTCATTTAAAGACATGTTAAACTCTTAATTTTTATAGATTTAAGTGATTATTATAAAATTGTTTTTCAAAGTTTATAGAAAAGGATTTATAAGTGGAATTTAAATGAATTTTCTTTAGACAATCAAATGTGGAAGTCATAATAATTGCGAATCACGTTTGCTCGCACGAACAGCTGATTTCATTCATAAAGCGAAAATACAACTGAACATGAACATGAAGAAGCAGCAGACAGACATAAACACATTAAAATATTTTATTTGCAAAGAAAAATTATCATTAAAAGAATGAAGATTTTAGGAGTAAATAAAAAAAGAAATAGTAAAATAAAAAGACAAAAAAAAAAAAGGAAAAACGTTGGCCAAAAGTTTAGTTTTGTTTTATTGCATTTTCTGATATTGTTTTCTTTCCTTCTTTTAGACACAAAACAAATGTATAAAACTCAACACACGTATTTATTTATGCATGTGTATGTAATAAGCGTAAAGTAAATATACAATAATAGCAAAATCAGAAAGCAACAAATATAATAATATAATTCGAAAAGCATGGAAGCACATGCGGACAGATGGACAGACAGAGATGCCTGAAAAAAGTTTTACTAACACATTTTTACTTTTATTTTGATTTTCGATTTTATTAAGTTCTTTATGTGTTATTTCTTTTTTTTTTTGCACAAACATTAAATAGTTCTACTGTTGACCTTTATTTCCCAGACTTCTTTGCTTAGTGTGAGTGTGAGTGAGTGTGTGTGTGAGTGTTTATGGCCTCAAACATGGTGAACGATAAAAATATAATAATATTCTAACAGAATCATACGTACACATGCAGTCGACATACACAGACTCGCAGGAATGAATGCAGAATATAGAAAGAATTCAAATTACAATAACAAAAATCACAAAAATCACAAAAAGCAACAAAAAGCAAAACAATAAGGATTTTATGTGTTTATGATAACTGCTATTGCACTCTTTTAATTTTGAAAAATGAAAAATAAACTTTTTTTAAACTAATAAAAAAATATAAATAAAAATAAAAATAAAAATAAGACAACAGCAACTGAAAGAGAAAGTAGAAAATTTGTGTAAATAAGACGAAAGACGAAAGAACCCTTGGCCATCACAAAGAGTCCTTGCAAAAAATTTTTTTTATGTTAAAGTTAAACTTTTATTCCAATAAGTGGAGTAAGCATACAGTAGCAGACATCATGGTACACGGCATCATGGTAAGCATTGCATGGACGCGATGCGAAACAGCAAACAAATAAACAAATACACACACACACACACACAAATGTCCATGCATGCATATAAGATTAAAGTGTGTCTGTGCTAATTTTTATGCCAATTAATAATTTATATTTATGTACTCTGACTCAGTTTTAAGCGACTCAACACCACATGTCTTCCTTACTTGCAGCAGCAGCAGCACCTACTTCTGTCAGCAAACACACACAGCAACACACATGCACGGATTTTTCTATAGGCAATTGCATACGTACGTATGTGAAAAGCACGTGCTGGTCGCACTACTACACACACACACATATGCCAGCACCGATAGGTGCGAGTGTGATTCCGTTTTATGTATACAAAAGTATTAGAAAATTAATATAATTAATTTCCAATTTCGATTTGAACTTTGACCTATAAACGAGTCGTATCTTTTTTTTTCTCATAAAAACTATTTATCTCCATTTACATGTGTGATTATTATTAAAATATATCATATCTCATATCTCATGCTTGCGAGAAAAAACTATTCACTAACAAAAGGCAAACAGGCGAATTCACAGATGGCACAACATTTATCTCCTTGCGGTTGGCGGCACTCTTAACTGCGCTCTTTACCTCCGCCTGTGAACTCTTAAAACAACAGCCACAGCAATGTTTCGCATATTCGCATTTCAACTTCTGCGCAACAGAATGCAAATACAAACAAACAAACACACACACACACACACACACACTGGTATAAGCCTGTCCCCTGCCAATGTTCTTTTATTTTTGTTCGAAGGCGGAGCTAAATTTGGTGTTGCAGTTGCTGTTGTTGCTGTTGTTGCTTTCGCTGCTCCAACTAGTAGTAGTTAGGCGAGGAGAGAACACCTTGCTGCTTACGGTTCGTATGTGTGTGTGTGTGTGTGTGTGGTGTGAATATTTTGGGGATGATTGCGTGCTCGTACAACAGGTAAACAAGTCGTAAATCTTGTGCAGCACGTGACATGAGCGCGGTTTTACCGACGCTTTGTGCTCATTCGTGATTTCGCGAAATGTTGCGCGCTCCCAACACCAACGTTGGACATAAAATGCAGATGTAGTGAAGGAAGTGCGCCAATTAGCATTTTCCATTTTGAGTTTCATTGTTTTTGCGTGGATATTTTAGTATTTCAGTGCCGAACCCTCACTTTTAAATGCGAGGAAAACGAATGTCTGAATGTGTGTGTGTGTGTGTGTGTGCGTTGAAGTGTATGCAAATTAAGTGTGGCACAGCAGGCGTTGACGAATACATGGTCTGAAATACAAGTATGCCCCACCATCCTTCAGTGCGAGCACACACTGATGAGCTTTCATGTAATTGTCGGCGTGAATAGGTACAACCACGCGTAATGCTGTTGCGTTGTGTCTGCGTGTGTCATCAACTCGCGATGAAGAGTCGAGACGCGAACCGTTTTTATTGGATACAATTGTCAAGTATGCCTCCTTGCACCGTGAAACAACCCTTGTACATAATGTTCCATATATTTACTTTCATTTGACGAATAAGAATTAGTTCTAGCAATAAATGATTTCAGCCAAATCAACTAATTGTGTTATTTTTGTCTTCTTTGCAGATACCAAACTGTTCGACAACGGCTTAAAGTTGGATATTTCCAGCTATCCGCACATGAACATCAGAATGAGCACCAAGGGCAAGCGTCCGCTGCGGAGCTTGACACCTAGTGACAAGATACATGCCATACAACGCATACACGATGGGGAGTCGAAGGCATCTGTGGCTCGAGACATTGGTGTTCCGGAGTCTACATTGCGCGGTTGGTGTAAAAATGAAGATAAATTACGTTTCATGTCACGGCAGTCAGCCTCGGACAAAATGGCAGCGGATTCGCTGTCTGAAAAACTCGATGGGTCCAGCGTGCTACTTGGCGGTCCACCAGAAAAACGTCAAAAGTTAGACTCATCGTTGCCATTGAACTTTTCCAATAAAATAAAATTCGATGAAATGAACTTTAAACGTTCACCCATCAATGGTTTGGATTACAGCACTAATAAAGCTTTAACCGATCTAAGTTTTGGTAGCTTGACACCTGATTATGTAGCATTCAATGGAGCTGTCAAGAATAAAGTTTTTGGTGCTGATATATCACGTCAAACTGATCCTTCAATTGCCGCTATAAGCCCGCTCTCCAGCTTATCACATCTCTCTGGTCTGACTGGCATCACACAGTCTCCCTTAGCCATCAGTTTTAATGAACTCACATCAAATCTCAATTTACTGGCGCAATTGAATCCCGGCCTGGCTGCGATGTCAGGTTTGAATAGCTTAGCAGCCACTGCAAATACCTTACGTAATGTAAAAACCAGACCCCAACCACAAAGCCCGCACAGCGAAAATAGCGATCGTCAGCAAGGTATCGCCGTCAAGAATTGGGCCAAGCAAAAGCCTAACACTGGTTCAAGCGAATCGAATTACGGACTCAACTTGAGCCAAACTGATAAAAACAAGATTAAGTGTCCAAGTCCTTCTTTGGCACCATCAATCGGCGCTAACTTGCCGCCATTGCCCACTATCCCTGACGATCCACTACTCTATTGGTTAAAATCACAGCAAGCAATGTTAGGGCTCAATAACATATATCCTCCACATCAAATCGGTGCTACAAGCCCACCCATCAGGTCATCCACACCACAGCTGCCAAGCACACATGCAAATACACCACCTACTTCCACCCCACTGACACCATCATCCACTCCGTCTGGCAGTCTCGATGACAAAAATGCTGCCTGGTTCAACTGGTGCAAAGCATTCGGCGCTAGTCTCAATTCACTCGCACCAGCAACAGCAGTTGCTCTACAAACCAATCCCTTGCAACAATCACAATCATCTTCCGGAAATCCAACTAGCTTAACTAATCAGAAGCCACCTTTCGAAAATATTCTATATTCGCAACTGACAAAAGACACCAGTAGTCCATCCCTACAAAGCACTAGTTCTGTCGACAATATGCACAACAACGAAGTCACTAGCAACGCCGATTCTACCAGCAAACCCGAAGATCTCTCAGCAAAGTCTGCGAAAACCATCAGTCCAGCACCTAGTCTTCCAACTCCAGATCAAAGTCCCACACAAACTCACACACCAACACCGAGTCCAACGCATAGTCCAGTCAGGCGTTCCGAAGCAGACACGGTTACTAGCGCTAACGAGGGGAGTGCGGGCAGCGTTGCCGACTGCAAAGATGTACTCGATAATTTACTTTACAAAATAAACAGCAATCCAAGTTCAGCAATACCAAAAGTTGATACACCCGGAAGCATGGAAGTTAGCAACGATTCCGATCTTAGCTACAATAGCGAAGGACAAACGAACAATAACGATATTAGTGCAAATAATAATAACAACAACAACAACTCCAACAAGACCGATGAAGAGGAACGTATCAAATTCGGTGACATCAGCGATGAAGATGATGACGAGGCTATCAAGCATGGAGAAAAGTTCTTGAAATGGTTGGAGAACTGCAGCAATCCGCGTGTAACCAGTGTGCAACTAATGCAGCTAAGATTCTTGATTGCCGCTGTCAAGTCCAACGCTGATCCGAAAGCTATTAAGGAGTGCAATAACTTGGCTAGCACGTCACTGTCAGAAACAGAGGATTCGGTTGAAGAGACCTGCCGCAATAAGGTTCGTCGTCGTAAATAGGATCAACCAAAACTGGCATCTACGGAGCCAAGGCAAACTGGTAAGACACAAAGCAACGACTTAATAAAAACAAAAATATATGCCCGCAATTCAGAGAAATTGCGACAGCTGCCAAGTGGTCCCGGCACAGATGAATTTCAACGCTATCATCACCAATTCACCCCAGCCATTTACCAATCCTCTGCTACTCTGCTCAACTCGCTATTCTTCCCGCCCTATGAATTTGTACAGTGCGACTTTCTAGAGGACGACCAAGATGATTGCCAAATAACTGGCGAATATCAGCAAGTAAATGAAATTGACGAAACTTGATCAAATTACTGAATAACATTGACTCATTTAATACCACATAATAATACTATAATATTATTATTATATAAAAATATATTTATTTTAATTATAAGAAAAAAATTTAACAATTTATGTACTTCCAAATAATTATGGATTGATCAATCGATCATTCATAAATAATTATAATTATTAAATGATCAAAAATCTCATGTAAATAACAGAATCTTAGCATAATTTTAGGCTTGCATAGGAACAGAATTGCGCTTATTAGTTACTAAAAAGAGAAAACTCTATATGTATTTTAGTTATATACGTTTACCGATTTATATAACATAAATGAACTTAATTTACTGTAAATATATATATCTATATATATTCTCAGACGTTTCTAGTTTAAGTTAAACATCTTCATTTTGTAATTTTGGATTCTTCTCAATTATGTAAGATTTTACTCAAAAAAGTTTAGAAAATGTTATATAAAGAAATTATTAAATGTTGTTAGAATAATTTATCCTTTGACCGAAGCTGAGATTGGCTCATGCGTTTTTCCCCTTGATTGCCACTCCATCAGAGATCAATCAAAAACCAAACAAAAATTGATATATCTTTTTATAGTAAACTCATCATCAAATTACAATACCAAAAAAAAAAAACAAAAACAAAAATTGGAATATAAAAAAAAATTAATTACAATAGAATAGCAACTAAATTTTATTCACTGATTATTATTATCAAATAAATAAAAAAAAATTTATACAATTTGTTTTAATTCCATTTTTATAACCTTTAACTTATATATATATTTCATACAAGAACCAATGTCGTTTGATATGCATATGAGCTATCCAGGATGGGCGTATGGATCTTACCAAATTAAGTGATATTTTTCATACTTTTTAATATATAATAATCCAGAGAAAAATAAATGTGATGGCACCTAAAAGAACTGGATATGAACATTTATGGCGGTTATAGCGCGATTTATGTTTAACGGAGTACCTTTCCCAGTAGAAGACAAATGGTTCTATACATTTTATCAATGGGTTTCCTTATTAAACAACGCTTCAGGAAATTTTATGTTATTCCAGTTTTGAAAAATGTGGACTTCAAATGCAGAATTTCGAAAAATGTGGAATTTTTTGGTAGGATTGACAGTAAAGAAAACAAATTTCGATTAAACGGAAGAGCTCTCAATTGAGCATCACAATTTTCTTTCAGAAAATAAAAATAAAGTATTTGCTGAAAGCCAACAGATTTCCAAACAAACATTTTGTTTGTGGTTCTAGAGTATTAATACCTTCACAAACAGAAGAGTCCCGCTTCCATTAATTTTATTACCGGGTCCCGCTTCCTACTTAATTGCGATTTTAACTTAAAATTTACCCAGCTTCTTCCTTCATTTAGAATAATAGGCATGAAAATTTAGGAGAATAGTTTAATCATTGATAACAGTAATCAGACATTGATATACGTATATCATATTTATTAATGATTACGTTGTTATGATGATCGTGTAGATCTACTTAGGTCTGCTGATTCGTATTGTTGTTGGTGGTAATTAGGATCTAGGGTTTCATTATGACAATGCTGGGTTTACAAATCTTTTACCGTCACAAAGTTAAAGGCGTAAAATTCGCTGAAGTTATCTCGTAAAATTAGAAGGTATCTATATGTGAATGTAGCGCATTGGTACAATAGATGTAGTGAACTTTTTTTATCTTATCAGAAATACCACATCTGGAAATACCGTGGAAAAGGCTATCAAGAGAGAAGTCGATGTATTTATCCGAATCGTTTAGGATCAGATTTTTACTTAATTGCATACTATTAAATAATATATGTATTTGTTAAATTCAGTTAGATAAAGTGTTAAAGTATGTATGACGGATTTGCTATTGCGATATTGCTTGATAATCTGCAGCATAAATACTGGCTTGCAAGTTCATAATGAAAACTACTTCTCTACAGGCAGAGGTCGTTATACATTTTGACCACATAAAATATAAAAGAGAAAGTTGGTTGAATTATTTGAAGGCTTAATGTCATGATCTTTGTAATACTCGTGTCCAAATAATTCCCACATAAAGGCACTTATTGGAAAGAATTTCCACCTGTGTTCTATATGTTCTATATTTGGATATATAACTTCCTCAACAAGGAGGAAGTGCTTGGAGGGAAGTACTAGGAAGTGCTATTCCTAGTATGCTGTTAGGTTTTAGCACTCGGGTAAAAAATGCAAATTCACATTAAGTGAAAGAACAAATGATTACATTTTGTCTACATATCTTAAGTTGTCAACCACAGTTATCAATTCAATGTCTTCTATGATAAGACAAACTACCAGATATCAGTACCATTAAGCATCGCCTAGGAATTGTAACATCATTGGAGTAATTATTGAACAATATCAGACTTTCGTGCCCCATTCTTTTCAGTCTGATCGAAAATTCTGATCGATAAACGAAATCTATATTTTTAAACTAGTGCGAAATTGATCCTTTTGCATTCTTGATGAAATAATGCAGATGTAAAAACTCCATACGCACTATGCGATGATGCCAAAGATAATATTGTAAAGGGAGCTGACATACATATTTAAAATATGTATTCTGACAAATATATATTCTTCTGACAAAAAACAAGATAGTCATTTTCTCTTCATCTCTAATGACCAACGTTTAATCTGTTTTCTCTTTCATGTAAATCTTCATTATTCAATTGAATTGATGGCAAATATTAGCTTTGGTTTAGTACCCTATTTAACTTTCAACGTGCTTGGAAATAAATTACAATCCAAAATAAATTAAAAACTTTCTTGATTATTATATATACATATCTAAAACTGCCATGGAAAAGGATAACAAGAGAAAGAACTCGATGTATTTAAGAGTATCATTTCATCTAAATAGGCTATGAGAAAGATGAAAGTCTTACTTCTTCTTCACTAAGAAAAGAGAGTGGACAATATGGAAATTGTAAGGTGCTTATTACACCTTTGCCAAATTAAAAGGCTTGTATGTTTCAATTTCTTTGAAATTTGGGTTTCTAACATTTTTTAATCCTTAAGTTGATCAAATCCCCTCGTATTTCGGTTACAGAAACGTTATTTTGCCTTCCTTGATTTATCTAGCGATAGTGATAGAGGACCGAGGACTAAAAGGCACCCACATTAAAAATCTAATACAATTTTACGTAAAAGTAGTTGAAAATATAGGTCTAGAATGTCATACGTCATACAAATATAGTACACAGTTGTGCTAGAGATAAGGACAGGACATATTAATATTAACTGGAGAATATTGTACTAGAATTGGCTGTAATGAACTTTAATTTTTCACATACTATGTACAATTATTTTATACTACAAACTTTTAAGAATCACGAACGTGTTCCTCTTATATATGTAGAAACCCCACTGATCCGACCCTAGTTAAATATAATATTTTTAATATTATCTGTGGATAGTTTACTTCTCGTAGTTAAGTGAGAGATGATCTCAGTAAACTATAAAGACTCAAATTGTTTTCAATAGTGTTAAAAACCATTCACTGGTTAGTTTAGTGAAAATACTGCTTTCAGAACATTTTGTGGGTAGTATTCAAACGAATATCGATCTAACATCTGTCTAGAATTAGACGAACTCACAATTTTTGCGGGGATCACTAAATCATTATTTTTTTTTGTAATGATCCACAATGATTTTAATGTTATTCTAAAATATGACGAAAATTCTATTTAATTCATTAAATATTAAAGTTTTCGATTGAGCAATCGCTTTGTTTAACTTACGGTTTCAATAATGTCTTTCAATGGTTCATAGACTATAAAATCCGAAACAAATCTAGCGATTCCCACCTCGTCTGCAATCAGTGGCACATAAGCAAAAGCGGTTGGTCGAATCGTTGTGCAAACAAATTTCTGAATATATGAAAAAAAAATATTAAAATCGATACACAAAATATGAACTATATTCCATTATCTTACCTGTATATTGCATTCGTTGTACGGTGCAAGAACCAGTGGACGACGTTTTGGGAATAGAAAACAAAATTGTCTACGAAAGTTTTCAGCATAGAGTAGAATTAGTCGCTCCTTCGACGAATGAGTATAATAACTTGGAAGATAACATTCTTCAGTGTTTGCAAACTCTTGTGTGGTCTCTGGAAATGACAAGTCAATGCGACCAATATTAACACTTGGTTCTGAAGGTTCGTACAATTTCAATACGGTTTCCTCCTCCTCCTCCTCCTCATTATCCAACCATTCCAAATCGTAGTCGCCTTCTCCCCCTGCTGATTGGTCCTCTTCCAAGTGAGACTTTTCAATTTCTTTGATTTGTTCACTCCATTTATTTGGATCGATATGAATCGTCACTTTTTGCTTTGGTTTGGGAGCCATTTCGCTAAATGTTTAGTTAGCCAACTGCTTCGAAACCCAACTAAGCCAAGAAGACACAATCAACAAAAAATAAACAAAATTTGTTTATTTTTATTTATTCGTCGTCAACGTAATTTGAATTTTATTTTTTTTAATTTGACAGCAAAAACGCCATCTGCTGGTAAAACGAGTGAAGGTGTGCACAAGGTGATATAGAGTTCAGTATTTAATTTAATGTTAAAGATAATGGATTGGAAAAATTATAAATATTACTATAATTAAATTAATTTTAATTTCTTACGGCTAACTACTTTATACGTTTTATTTATCATTAAATAGTACATGCGCTCCTTAAAAGAGATATACACGACTGATCATTCAAAGTCACGACCATTTACGATGGGAAGTTAAGATATGGGCTGGATATTTTAGGTGAAATTGTTGTACTGACTTTCTGGATGTGAATTTCCACAATCATGTAAGTATAGGAGTATAAACGGGTTTGAAGTATCAAAGACCCTGAGCAGTTTTAAAGACATCCCTATTAAAGACATCGCTATGTTATCAATTTTGCTTCAAGAGTAAAGAAAAAAGATGCAAATTAAAATAGTTCTTGAGAATAATGATAGATAGATGGATTTCATATAAATATGTAGCTGGTTATCCTTTAGGTCTTTATTTTTCTACTGAGCTTTTTTTTATATATGTAACATATTGTTTTGAAGCTAAATAATAAATTTAAAGGTAGATATTTGGATTTCATATAAGTAAGTAGTTCTTTGATCTTTATTTTTCTGTTCAGGCTTTTTTTATATATGATATATAAGATATAAGATATTGTATATGATATTGTTTTAAAGCTAAATACCAACAAGGAAACGTGTTCGTTGTCTGCAAGAAGCAGCACATGATCTAAAGATACAACCATTGTATCTTAATTCATATAAGTTTTCTAATTTATTAGTATTCCTTTTTGGATTTTATCTTACACCATTTGGGACATGAGAAGACCTTGTGGCGGATACGGCAACCACAAATAGTTGCGGCAAATGCTTTTCGCTTCGCTCTCTTTTGCATCCGAACCGGTAACGAGGACGCACACAAAAGTTGAGCTGTAGTGGAATTAGCAACCCACAACCTCATCATTACATTACGATAGCGATGCTGACTGAGCTTAGTATAAGACTGTGGTTGGTGCTGTGTTCTTCAATTTTATACTGCCAACAAATCCTTAATATTTCTCAATACATCATATTTCTTGGGTCGAGTCACTTGATTATAAAACATATATAACAGATTGTGACTGATAAGTTCGTAGGATAATACTATACACTGGCAGTTTCACTAATGAAAAACCTATATACATTTTAAAAAGTGGCAACTTTTTGATATTTTTTATATGTATGTAGACATACATTATATGTATATTTGTATGTAGACAAATGTCTAAATTCAATCAATTCAAACGAGACAACTATCTGTTTGTATATATAGAATAACGTAAGCTTGAGAAGCTTTGATTGGTATTAATATTGTCTTCAATGTTTTCACTGGAGCTATTGTGTGGGTATCCAGGACGCAGTTCAGGTGATGATCACATTTAAAGTTTTATAAAAAATGATAAGAAAAAACAAATGATTATTCAAATAGGTTGAAATGAATTTTCCAATTGGCTGTCATATTATTACGGCACAACTCCCTGATAAAAAATAGTCACGTACTTTATTCTCAAGTAATAATGCATTAATGATAGATTTATGGTGTTCTGGTTTGTTGGGATATAAATTATATTATTAACCATCAAATATCGTACAAGAAAATTTATTAATACGGTCTTTATATTGTCTGTATGGGAAGACCGTATTAATACACAAATAAAGAGCGTAATATTGCGGATTTTGACCGAACCACAAAATGCGTTTAAAATTATTTGTGGGTTTGTGTATGTGATTAAAAATTACGGTTTATGAAGCTAATTTCACTTTTACGATATTGCATTTTTAGTACATATTTGTGAGCCATCTAGTACTGAATGTAAAAAATACTGTTAGTTAAAGAAGGTAAGAATGCAACTGATTTCAAAAAGTAGTTGAGCTTAGAACCACTAAATCTTGAACAAAAGTTTTATTTAGGAAACCTGAACGGAAAGTTTTTAAACATTTCAAGTGATTACTTTTGATGACCGATTATTTTCCGATTATTAAACACCTTTGCTTTTTATTACAATTGTGTAAATTTCAATATTCATAACAATTTTTTTTCTACTACACCACGTCTCCATATAGTTTGGACATAGAGTTTTAAAGTTATGAACTTTTAACATTGAACATGAGACAGTGACATTACGGTCTTTGCACTTCCATGCGCTATCTAGGCAACAAATATTTATTATTTATTTTTTTATTTTACATATTAATATATTAATCACATTAATATATTATTTATAACACACACAATGATTGTCAATAATCGTATAGCTGGAATATCTGCTTTTCTTGTTCTTCATATAAAATTAGACATATAAAATATAAAATATTATATGCATAATACGTGATATATACTCTACAAACGATAAACAAAGCAACGGGTAGATATATTATAAATATATTAATATTAAAAATTTGCTTTAACTTGCGTTTAAGTATAAAAAAACTTCAAAAATGATTAACGAATCCACCCCCGTTACTGATTTGTTAAGTCAAAGACCGTATTACAATATTACGGTCTTTGACAGTCCTTCTACAATATTATGGTCTTTGTCTGCTGTCATATAATACTACAATTACGGTCATTACTCATTTAAATACATTGTAGGGTTTTCTATTCCCTGTTGGATGCATATGGCGCTACATTCAATCGAAGAGCACACAAATTTTGGTTTTGACATGTGCTAACTCCAAACGAGAAGTTCTGTGGTGGAAACTCTCCCCATTACACACATGAAGGTGTGTGTATTAACTAAGTAGGAACACAATAAATGCAAGCAAACACGCAAAGAAAAAGAAATGGAAATTTCTGAATAAAATTTAATCAAAATTTAAAACACGAAAAATATAATTTCCAAAGACAAATTAAATAAAAATTTTTAAAAATTAGTTAAAAATTAATTAAAATAACAAAAATTTCGTCATATTGCCATTTCCGTTTTGATGTTTTTTGTGTTGTTTTTGTTGTTATTCCATTTTGATACGGTTTTTCTGCTTTTTGTTTTTACATTGAAGCGTCCGATCAGCTGCTTTTTAGAAAGTTAAGACAGCAAAAGAAAGATGAAGAGAAGAAGAAAATACAAGAACGACACAACATAATAAGAAAGTCTTTTTTAGTTCTTCATCGACACGTCATTTGCTGCAGTGTTTCGTGGTTTTGTGATTGGTTTTGTTTACTTATTGGAATTAATATTTTAAATGAAATTCAATTTCAAAAATATATTTTAAATAAAAATGAATAAACACAACAAATCTAAAACAGCAGCCACAAAAGTGGAAAATATTGCAAAAGTTGAGGCCAAAACTATGGACGCCAAATTGTAAGTTAACTGCGCCACAGAAGACTTAAGCAACGAACTTGCATTCTAATTAACCCTCTAGTTCCCAATAATGTTGTGATGGTGTCAATAATTATAGTTACAAGTGAATTAATATTTTGCGAAGCAAACAAATATTAAATAATGATTTATAAACATTTTTCTAGAACAATTATTTACTTATTAATTAATTATTTACTTTAAAATAAGCTTCAGACATAAAAAGAAAAACTTGAGAACTTGAGAGTTAATTATTATGTTTTTTAATATATTATTTTGTTTAAAAAGATTAAAAGATAATGTTTTCGTTGTTTTTTGCACAGAAATTGGTGGCTAATCTTCGGTGTTGTTGTCTTATTGACACTGAGTACCCGCTTTTACAAGGTGACAGAACCCGATCACATATGGTGAGTCATTTTTGTTAGTGTTAAGTCTTACTGCTTTGGAAAAAATAAAGAAAAAGATAATATTCTTTATTTCAGTTGGGACGAGACGCATTTCGGTAAAATGGGCAGTTGGTACATAAATCGAACTTTTTTCTTCGATGTGCACCCGCCACTTGGTAAAGTGAGTATCAGTCTCTAAGCCTTCCAAAAACATTGAATTGAATTTTGTTTTATCTCATCTTATAGATGCTTATTGGTCTCTCCGGCTACCTAACAGGGTACAATGGTACATATCCATTTGAGAAACCTGGTGACAAATACAATGGCACGAAGTATGAAGGAATGCGCTATGTAAGTTATAAGAACTGTTGTCCGTTTTTTAAAATTTAATTGTAACACGGTTATAGCTCAGGGACTTCTATGTCGAAGCTGTTACTTAATGATATTTTTATTTTAAAATCGCAGTACGGACTGTGGAAAGTTATAGATCGACAAAATAATGAAATGATCTTAATCTGATTCTACTTCTATTAACGCAATTGTACTAGTTAAGCATTGAAATTCATCAATAGTCGACTTCAAGCTATCTAATGAGTGTCTCCAGTGGTCTATACCAATGATTCGAGTAACTTACTTTATAGTTTCATCTTGTTATGGGTTGTTCTCTTCTTTTTTTTGCTGGGGATACGTTTATTGAAAACATATTTGCCATTTAATACTTCAATATATGGATAATATATTCAGCTAATTTGAAAATGATATCCTACCTAAAATATGGCTTTCACTGCTGTGTTTAGCCTTTCGTACCTATCTGGAAAAATATGTGGCAATATTTGTTATTTTTTTTACAAAATTTATTCAAAATTCAGATATGCTACCATGCATATAGTAATACATATTTTATACATAAAAATGAATCGAAGAATGTGTTGGTAAGCGCAGAACTCAACAACGCCTGGACCGATTTGGTCAATTCTTTTTTTTAAATGTTCGTTGAAGTCCAAGGATGGGTTTTACGGCGAGAAAAAAATCGAATTATTGCTAATTACAAATTGGTCCAGGCGTTGTTGAGTTATGCGCTTACCAACACATTTTTCGATTCATTTTTACATATAAGAAACAAGAACATAACTACAATAGATGAGTTTGTGTGTTGTAATAAGTTGTTGATTATTGTAAGTATGTTTATTAAATC